GGGGGAAGTCAGGACTCCTGGTGGTAGCCCCGCTCTGGGAGGGCAGTGGGATCTAGTGGTTAGAGCGGGCAGGGGTTCTTGGAGCCAGGACTCCTGGGTTCTCTCCAAACTCGAGCTCAGTCTAGCAGCTGCGCAGGAGGCTGGCCGCGTGGGGGCCTGCGTGCTCCGCTCCCCCATGGGTTAGGGCCGCCCCAGATCCCGCAGGTAGAATCCAGCGCGACGGGCCGGGGAAGGTGCAGCTCCCCAATCCCACCAGCAGGTGGAGCCAGACACCCAGGCAGCGCCCCTATGGTCCCCTGTACCCCCAGCCTGGGAGAGCCCTGCACCTCTCTACGGTCCCCTGTACCCCCAGCCTGGGAGAGCCCTGCACCCCCCTACATACCCCTGTACCCCCAGCCTGGGAGAGCCCTGCACCTCTCTACGGTCCCCTGTACCCCCAGCCTGGGAGAGCCATGCACTGCACCCCCTGCACCCCACAGTCTGACAGAACCCCCTCACACATACTGCTCCCCTGGGGGGGTATCAGACACCCTGAGCCCCTCAGACACTCTTGGGTGGCCCTGTCACACTGCTCTCCTCAGGAAGCTCTGCCCCCCACCTTGGCAAAGCCCCTCCCCCCATCCCCCCTGAACCCCCCCCCCCCCCCCCCCCGCAGCCCCCAAACCCTGCCCATCCAGGGCACACACAGCCCAGCAGGGGGCGCTGCAGCAGGACTTCCCCCACCCAGAGACCCTGCCCCCTGCAAGGTACCCTGAGCTCTGCCCCCACGGGTGCTGGGTCCAGCTGGCACCCTGAGCCCAGGGGGCATGTGGCACTCACACTCAGCAGGGACCGTGGCCCCGTGGCACAGGTCCTGCGTGGATGGGCAAAGCTCCTTGCCCTCCTGCGGGCACGGCCCCTTCTGGCTCAGGCGCTGCCCCACGGTGGTGACATGGGTGTAGAACCGATCGCCCGTCACCCTGTGATCCAGTGCCAGCTCGCTCAGCTTGATCTTCTTCCTGACCCGGGAAAGGGGGGGTGAGAGGAGAACCAGCGCCCCCTGCTGGGGGAGACCCGCCACTGCCCCCACAGCGCCCCCTGCTGGGGGAGACC